GTTTGGAGAATGTTTAATATGAACTATAGTACATTTGCTTTGAATTTTGTTTTTAAACTAAAAAAGGATCAGTTATTTCTGTCCTAGTTTCAAACTTATTAAACCAGGAAAATTATATTTAAAAAATTGAAGATATTTGTGCATATTTTTTCTAGAACCCACCTCGAAAATCATAGCGCCCAAAAACGCCCAGCCCTGGCTAACTCTCCTAGAAAATGTTATTTCCCCTTCTTCATTTTCCGCCTACACTACTTACTTCTACTCACTTTCTCGTACAGTTCGCGCAAGAAATCCTAATTCTATGATATCACATCCACTGACGAGATCGTTTTCGGTCATTTTCATGATGCCGTAGTCCGACGAACCGGACTAGGCATCAGCCTATAGATTGGAGAAACGTATTTCCGGTCCATTTAACTATGGCCAATGAACGTGGAAATAACCGAGGAAATTACACGTAATGCTAAAACAAGATTGGAAGGCATTTCTTGCGCAAACTGTACACATGTGCGCAGACGATACACATATACATGTACACGAATACAAATACATATGCATATTATCCATCTCTCCAGGATTCTCACCCCTAGCTTACTCCTGCTACCCCCAGGCTGCTGCGGTTCGTTGAATGGCCGAAAGTGGGGGAATCCCTTTTAGCTGCCCACGCAATCAATAGCAGGACCTGCCGCTTCTACTGAATGGACTTGACGCGCCCGCCGTACCCCTCAACGTCCTAACTTCCACTATATTGATTACTACGCCAAGGGTGGGTCGGCGCGAGGGCATGCGGGGTGTCGCTCTATCGACCAGCCAGCTGTATTACTGTTCATTCATAAATTTTCAGTTTTCACTCGTGATGTTGCCGCGAGCTAGTTTCACGTTGTCAAGAAAGCTCGACGTGACGGTGAGTGCGAATTCTACAGACTCTTCTCATAAACGTTCATTATAATATTAATAAAAAAATGTGTTTAATTAAAATTTCTATAAATCTGGAACTATTTACATGTTAACGTTAAATAAGATTTATCTGTTATAATTACTTTGTTTCTTTTGTAAAGGCAATTAAGAAGAATCATTTTTAATCTTTATGACTCTGTCTTCTTTTAAATCTTATCTATTAAATCTTTAGAAAAATGCAGGAAACAACTTATGTTAATTTTGATTAATATTTATGAGAACAGATTGATTGATAATGAAATCAATATTATACTAATGCTAATTATTCAGATTAATTGATATTTGTAGCGTTATTTAACTGATTTCCTGTCTTCCTTTAATTTTATTTCTGAATAGAAATGGAATTGATTAAATTTTAATTTATATTTATATAATGTGAATTTTAACTTATATTTATATAAGTTTATATATGAATTTGATGTATATATTATGAACTCATTGTGAGTATGTGGATATAAATGGTTTGTTATAATAATGCATCCATCGTGGCATATATATAGGGTAGCCAACATAGTCACATTGTTGGAAGCGTATAGTAAAGAGCGAATGAAGAGAGTGATTCATAGATTCTAGATTACAAACTTACACTCGAACTCATTTCGACTCATTTCAATCTATATTAATTTCTCTGATCTCTCGTAATTCTTCTTGGCACGTCTTTTATCTTGAGCATAGAAATCTTTATTTTTAATTCAATTCCAAGAAAAATACTCGGGAAGGACGAGAATTGTATCTCTACTTCCTCACTGACTTGTAACCGCTCGCGATTTCCCATCAAGATCGTTTCCGATTCCGACTTGGATAATTTTTTATCGTCTGAGAACAATCATGTGGGTGTCCACGTGTGTTTGTCGCAACATTCTGAAATAGCGGGCTCTCTCTCCCCTCGTTCCTTTTGCAGGGGCTTCTCTGACGGCGGAAGAGATCTTTCGAGTGATGACACGCACGTTTAATTGTCCTCATGACGATCTATTGCGGGGGAATCCCCATCAAAGGTAGCAATTATCGATTTACAAATCTTCAATAACAACCTTCGTGGCAAATGCTTTATTTATGACGAAAGAAATCCAGAGATCTTCTTCTCTTTCTTGTTTTCATATAGTGTGCTCCGGATGATGGAGGACTCCTGTTGAATTTATTACAGTCATTCGAATCATGGCGCGAATTGTTGGTAATGATGTTGATAAATTACTGTTAAATCCTCCGGACATAATAGCAATATATTTAAAAAACAATATATTTAAAAAGTTTCTCGGCTAATCATGTTTTCGATCATCCTTTACTAAAAAAAAATAGCTTCATCCCGGCTTTTTGTATCATGCACACCGGCGTAATAAAAAAATATTCTCTTAGATATTTCCGAAAATGATATTCTCAAGGAATTTGATTCATCTTATAAGATTTTATCCGTCAAGCATTTATAAATGTAAGAATGGCGAGATGGATTCTACCTCCTCGTGCATCATAATGGTTAAATTTCGGACAATTCCTCCTGCGTTCGATATCCTACTTGCATATTAACTTTCTCCCTTATTTTTCCTAGAGTTCTCATGTGTTTTTCATGCTTCTGATATGGCCATATATAAGTGCTAACTATAAAGGGAAACCATCCTAAATATTTCAATTCGAAAAAATGCTCCCGCTGCAATAGATGTCCTCGTTATGCTGCAACTACGGGGGCGGAGGAAGAGCACTTTCCTTCTTCTCCAAAAGTCCACTGTATATGTGTGCCAAAAATAGATTTACGCCTACGCGGCCACTGAAAATGTGTTCTACTTTGAAGCCTGTACCAGCGTAGTTTCCTAACTCTTCCCCCCCTTTTCAATCCTTACACTTACAGTAAGTTTTCCTCTTTCTCTACGCCAGGCAACTCTT